ATATGTGATATAAGGTATTCTTAAAAAAATCAAATCAAATTACAATTTGGGGACCTTCCCATCAGGAAAACCTGTGGGCAATATGATAACTGCAAGAATGTAAATACTACAGTTACTGACAGCAATCTGGAATAAAACGTACCCATCAGCCATTCTTGTTGCGCGCCTAAGCGAGTGTGAGAGAATGGTCGAGTGTATTTGATGCCATATAGGCCTATCTGTCAGCAGAGGATTAGCTTGTAGGCATTCCACGTAGAAAGCCATCTCAAACCAATATAGCCTATTTCTCCTGTTACAGCCTTATGATGCTACCAAGGAACAGGAGCCTTTCACAGCCCACATAGGGTATGGAAGAGCTATTGTCCCCTGCTGCAGTGCTTAGGCTCCCTAAATTTACAGTTCGGTCCGGTAGCATTGTTGGCAGCCACATTGCTGCCAACAATGCTACACGTTAGCAAGGCTACAGCTGTACTAGTAAAGAATTCTAAGGCTAATCTGATCCCAACAATGTAAAAACCATTAGACAAGTCAAGCTCAGCAATGTCCTTGGCTGGACTTTTTCGACCCTCAGTTAGTAAAGCAGGATTAATGTGGATGTGCGAGTGGCATTTTGTGAGGTCCTAAGATAAATGAATGGAATTCAAACAGGAGACCAGTTGCGTGAAGTCTCACAATACATAGGCTAAGTTTCAGCAATGTGACTTTTTATTACATCTATGACAAATGTTTTAAAAATCTGGGCAAAAACAAAGTAGCTGGCTTTAAGGTGCTTCATTTCACAACATTTAAAGTAGTGGTTACTGGTTCTGACTTCTACAGCTTTTGTTAACACTAGATAGAATATATAATCATTTTGGTACAGCCACAATGACAGTTGTGACCTAGAAATTTGAAAGATCTTTTGCTTAAAAAACAAAACAAAAGAAAAAAACAACTGAGACAGCCAGACAAACACAGACAGCAGATTTATTGATACATAGACAGACAAACACATACACAGAGGCATGATCCACACCACAGGCAGCTGTCCCTAAACAAGTTAATATAGCAGGCTGTTTATGAGTGGGTTGAAACTTAAGCCTGACACGAACACCCGCCTGGCACAGCCTTAATGAAATCTTGGGCTGGGGTGAAGGTAAGTTCAGTGGGCTCTCTGGAAATGCCACAACAAGTTCCTAATTTTTCTTTGTTGATTAAATTGGTTTTGAAACCTGCACCACAAAAGGCTGCTCAGTAAGCAGCTAGTAAAACTACTTACATCTAGCCAGTTATGAGAGAGATGGGTAACTACAGGTTTTTCACTCCATAACAGCAAAGATTAAATGCTTGTACTAATATAAACATGTTTTGACAAAAACCTAGAGTTTAGGACAACGACTAAACCAAAGTGTTACTTCAGCAGAAAGTTTGCACAACAACCATATTGAGCAGCAGCTTCACCTGTCACAGACAGACACAGCAGCTGCAATTGTTCACACAACAGTGGCACTCCATGCTGTCTGACATTGGCCTTTTAAATTGAGTAATGACCATTAAACGTAGCACATAAAGTATCATATCACATCTCCTTTTCACAGTACATGCAGAATATTTTCCTCAAGTGCCAGTGTATTATAATTGCTCTGACATCTGTTTGTCTTGGAGCTTGTCTGTTTTTTGGGGCTCATTTCTGAGAGTTGTTTACCAGAACTACTTGGTTTGATTTGGTTTGAACAAAATAGAACATTAATTTATAGATACACCGTTCTCAGACTGAACTTACATTTTCACTCTTCTTCATAGAAAGATAAAATAATCTGCACTGGTTAGACCTTTCAGCCTTAGTAGCTCTACAACACAAACTAAAACACCAATGGCACAAAGCCACCATATGACAAAAAAAGGTATGGTATTAGGAGCAACTTGGGGTTCCTTGGCCAAGGACATTTCAACATAAAGAGGGATAGGGACTGACATGGGAAACCTCATCTACTACCTGATCCCAGTGACAATATCAGTATAGCACAACATATTCCAACAAACTCACAAAAAACAGCCTTCAAAATAAAGGAAAATGAGCTCTACAAAAAAAATTCCATATAACACTGATTTCAGGCTAAAACTAGGGCAGCACAATTAATTGTTAGAAAATCGCGATCTCACTTCATACTTATGTGCAATCTCATTTCGAAATGACAAGGATTTAAAAAAAAAAGAAAAAAAGATGATGATTGTACTGCATTTTGATCCAGGACATAAGTTGCATGAAAACAAGCGCTCACTCTTCCTGCTCAACAAATGACAAGGGCGGAGGCTTATACCAAGTGATACAGAAGTCAGCTGGCATGGAAAAAACAACAGAGAGCACGTGAGAGATGACGAAGCTGTAAAGGCCAAGAAAGTGAGGGGAATCCATCCTACCTGAAAAAACATCCTACCCAATGTTTCTGCGCAGACGCGCAAAACCAACGCCGAATTAACTTCTTTTTCTCTCACCCATCCGGAATACTTCTTAAGGTTATGGTTATGGTTAGGGCTATGGTCAAGGGTAGGGTTAGGTTTAGTCGCAAGTCACCATCAAATTATGATACGGGTAGGACGTTTTGTCAGAGTAGGATGGTTTCTCAAAACACCGTCCCGCAACTATTTTAAAAATGTTGCACTACCTGCTCTATACACGCAGTGTCGAGCAACGGTGGAGACGGAATTACAAGCAGTACAACATTTTGAGGCAACGACAAAACGTGACACATTTGTTTTTATGTTTATTTATTGTTTTTATGTTCAGTCTCAACTGTTACAAAGTTGATGTGCAGTTAATAAGTGCAATAAATATTTATATTGGAAAAGAAAATCGTGAGAGAATCGCGATCTCAATTCTAAGCAAAAAAATCGTGATTCTCATTTTATGCAAAATTGTGCAGCCCTAGCTAAAACTACAAAAATTCTTTCTATTCTAGCATAATTTGCTTTTTTCTTTTATAGTTTTTCGTTTTGACTGTGATTTGAACCAAAACTGCACTTTGCTATACCACAAAAGGTGCAAAGCATAACAAGTTAATATTAACTATGTAGTACATGTAATTAATGAAAACAATAAAAAATTTTGTCCTAATGATGGATACAACGTTTTTCCTCTTTTCTCCTTTAGTTGCTTTTAAGGTTTTTTAGAACCTGTTTGCAGCACTTGGATATTGGACGAAAAGGTGATTAAAAGGTAAATAAAAGTAATGACATCAGTTTCATTTTCTAATAGCCACATATAAGTAAATTAAAAAAACAAACATATAGTTAAGAAATGAAAGAAAGAACTCTGACATTTTGTTAGAGAAACTATAATTAAGTATCAAGAATCAAGAATCACCACAGCAAGGCACTGACAGCAAGCAATTTAAATGAGGTTATGTGGAATGTGTTCACAATTCAACGTAGAAACATAAGAAAAATGAGTACAGCTTATATTAACCATTCAAAACTGCCTACACACATGCTCAAATGCAAGATTACTGCACTAAGATTGTCTATTCACTAAGCTGAACACAAATTGCCATAGATCTTTAGGGAAAGAAAAAGCATTTCTTTCAAATTCTTTTCCTTTTTAAACTTTATTCATTAATAAAATTCTGACCAAAACAAAGCAGACATACCACAGACACTTGCACTCTACTCCAGACAAGACACAGTTGTGTATTAGACCACAACACCTGTTAAATGATTCCTGGAATCTGGTTCAGTGTTACAGACATGGCCTGCCGTCGTATTCCACAAGCCCCAAGGGTAGCTGCTATAACAGCACCCCTTACAACATATGCTTACTATGGAGAGAATATAAAAGAGGAATTTTGGAGGCACAGGCAATTTATTTGGTTTGTATTTAGTTTTATATACTTGCACAATCTCAAAATCTCCTCAGCTGGAATTTGGTGGGTGCATGTACATACTGCATGATACCTCAAATTTCAAATATTTTAAGTAATGATATAAAACATAAAAAGATGCGATCTTAAAGACTTTTGTCTGTACTTTCTCCTTAGACAAACAAGCTATTTCTGGTATCAAATATGTACTCCTGTTTTGCAAGGTCATTACTGCGGAGTGAAGGAATGTCCACAAGTCACGACTACTGATGATTTTAAAAGGAGAACAAAATCTAATTTCCACATACTATGTATTCTTGGATCTGATGTTTAGAGCATACTACTATCAGCTACAAGTGAACAATAACTAACAGTCAAATAGTCATCAAGGATGGAAATCATTATAAAGCGCCTTGAGGCAACTGTTGATGTGATTTGAACTGTCCATGTGATTTGGCACTGTACAAATAAAATGAAATTGAATTTAAATAAAATGAAATGAGCATTTTGGCTCTTGTCTTATAAAACATATTTCTGCTTGGCTTTTTATTTGGGCAGTAAAAGTAACAGCCATATAAATTATTAATGTTATTTATTTAACCTGCTCCTGGTTAGTGTATGGCGTTTCTGATCTGGTTGGTTTTAATCCATCAGTGTTGGTAAGCCTACAGTTACTGTATTTTTATGACCAATAAAACATCATTAAATAGACTTGATGCCAAACAAAATACCAGACCTCCATCGGAAGGGCATATACACATTGCACTGGTGTTCCAGAGGTACTAGAAGCCCATGTATGACAGGACGCTAACAGGAGGGCAGCTATGAAATCAGGCTGAATACATGTAGCAGGTGGGGGGTGTAGGGGGCAGTCAAGAAAGGCTCTGGTGTCTGGCTATTTTCAGGTCCCCCGTTCCTTGCAGGCCAGCAACAGTTGATACCAGACAAGCATAAAACACATTTCCATGTGCATCAATGCACATACACACACGCAGAAACCAACTTCACACTTACATGGAACTCGGTAGTGTTGAGAATGTGACGTCCATCTGGACTCCAGCGTGAGGAGACTAGTCCTATTGAACCCTCATCAATCTTGCAGTGCCAGTCCGGCTGTTCAAGAGACCACACCTGAGAAAAAAAACGTCAGAAGGAAGACAGAGTGCGACACCAGGACAGCAAACGGCAATTACTCAAGACATCCTTTACACACATCCTCTAACTTTCTCAGTTTGATTTCAAACAGTAAGAACACATCAGACACAATGAAAGACTGGCACTGGATACCCTTTCAAAGGTAAGCAACTTGAGCTACGATGTGCATGAAACTGACATCACTTCAGTAACAATAATTACTGCAATTCTGTCACTTTGAACACTTTTTGATCATCCTAAAATAAAGAAGTTAAAGCACAATAAAAAATAAACAGCATGGTTCTAGATCATCCAATGACAGAAGTAATGAATATAAAAATTATTGTACCTATTTGAATGCTAAATAGTGAGTTTCACTGAAAGCAGTCTCAGACTACTTCATCTAATGTGGAGTCTACTGTGTCCTTAAAGTAACAGCAATAAGAATGTATGTATAAAAAAGTTAATTAGTATACATTTTTAAGACTAAAAGAAGGATGTACATGTTATTGACACTTCAAACAGGACATGTCTAAAGCCTCCAAAAATTTAAAGTACAATATACAATCTCAAAAAATTACAACTGAAGATACGGAGTACCGGTATTTGTTTTGAGGAAGTATTTCTGTATGTCACTTCTAAATTTAGGGAATGTGGCATAACTGGTTTATTGGTAGTTTGATTAAATAGAGCCTGTCCAACTGAAATCCACATAAATCACTTTAGTATTCAGTTTCTATCAATCACCCCAAAAAACCCAACATTATTTAAAAGAGTTTGTAATTATTTGTATAATCGTGAACAGTGTTCAACTAGTAGACTGACCACCTTCATTCACACCACATAAATGGTCAGATAGCCACATTACTTTTCTCTCAACCTACCTGTACTAGTCCTCTCTTGTACATAGCACACAGAATAAAGAGAGAATCAGAGGACCACTCCATATGAGATATTTGGTCAAGGCAGGTATACAGGTGCATAATCTGCAAGGTGCTCACATCTCGCACCACTAACCTGTACTGCACACATGTAGCCTGAGGAGTAAAGCCAAAGACAACAATCAGCAAGGAAATTACCCATTTCCATCTTATCCATATGGAAATGGTAACATAAAATGGGAATGAAAAAGATTTCGTTCTACTGAAAACAATTAAAATACTACAAAAATACATATTGCATTACTCAAACACTTACCAAATACTTTCCATCTGGGGAAACTTTACAAAGCTGATTGGACTGCTTGAAGACCTCAGAGAAATTCATCTTACAGTGACAATTGTTTTGTCATCTATGAAGCACAATTTCCAACTGAAATGAAATTGATTAAGACATTAAATCTTTTACGGTAAAGGACAAAGGTTGGTTAAAGATAAATCAGAGCTGTAATATTTTCAGCTAATATTATTTTATTATTATTCACACTTCTGGAAATACGTTTCCAAAAATACTTGTGTCTATTTTTCTTACACTACATTTTCCATAACATTATTTACTGTAGATATAGTTATTATGTTTTTATGTCATTTCGATTTTGTAAACTGTGCATTGTGAACATAACAGCTCAATAGGGGACACGGGTTAGAAATTAGCAATAAACTCTATGTGCAGCGCATCAGTTTCATGCTCCGCACTGGGAACATGTTAAACGTCATCGTCCTTTTCAAATACATAAATTTTAACTAAAACAATTGCAAAAGATTTGCAATTTGTACCACTAATGCCAACTTACGTAGTTTGCAGATATTAACACGTGATGGCGCTAAAGGTCCAAGAAAATGACTAAGCCTCAGAAAATAGGCATGCAGAAAATACACAAAAAACTTTTTCGTACAGGAAAATAACTCGACTTATATGGCAACTACTTAGCTACATAAAACGGACTTAATCCTTTCCCAAATTGAGCATCATCACAAACAAAGCAATTTTCGTAGCTATCTTGGTTTAGCTAACTCTTAAGAAAGACCTGGAGGAAACTAATTCGTCGAGCAAAGCATGTCTGAAAGATGTGTTTCACTGCGATTTTTGTCATTGGTATCAAATTATTTAACCAGTGGATAAGAACTGACCACTACATGCTTAAGGTAAAGTTAGTTGTTTAACTAGCTGTCACCAATGACTGAGCTCGCTCGAGGCTAGCATGTAATGCTACTAGCAACGAAAAGCTCTATGGTAGCTTTCGACCGAACATCACCATTTAATGCAAACACTTACTTCTAGCTTTACTTGAGTTGTTTTTGTCACTTAAAAGATTAACGTAAAAAGTTCAAGAAAGACTTCAGAAAAGTTTTTTCTCCACATGACTGCCTTCTGGTGCATACGCTGTTGATTCGACTGCTGCTGGTTTGTTTGGACGAATACATGACGACATACTGATGTTGTCCAATCAGCGTTTGCTATTAGAGTTTTCTTGCCTTCTGGGAAATGTAGTTCATAAGTGTGTTTTGCCTCGTTTCCTACTGCTCGCGAGTGTGTGTTTCTGTACCAAATCAATACAAACCTATAAGCATCATATTATCATCACAGGGTTATGGGCTTTTAATCGTGTAGTGTAATTTAGAATATGATACATTGTTTTTCATTTCGCTCATTGCCTTAAGTTCTTCCCCATCATGTTTCTTTCGTTCTTAATTGTATCCTACAGTTGTATATATATACTTGAATGTATAAGCAAGGGCAGCCTAACACATTTATATATATATACTTGAATGTATAAGTAAAAGGAAGCCTAACGCATTTTTATTATCCCCCAGCATCATCTCCTGGTTGAGCCAAAGCTTTCCCGCTTATATGCGGCTAAACCGCGCTACCGCCTCCCTGCTCTCCCAGTGCAAAAAACGCTTCACCTCCTCCTCGGTCACCCTCAGCAAAGATCACACTTCTCTGGAGAGCATGCAAATCAGTTTTCCTCTTGAATCCGGTTAATATTGCTTCTCAGAAAAGTCAATCAACTTCAGTCATTGTTATCAACCTGAGTCAATCGATTTTTTCCAATTTTTTTCCCTTGTTGCTATTTTTTATGGAGGGTCACTCTCTCGGCACGTTCGATAATAAACAGACAGCTGCTGGACGCAACATATTTCCTGGGTGTTTGGATTGGAATAAGAATAACCTTCAGGTAGGCTCACGTCTATTAATGTTTAATGAGCTATATGTTACAAATGGTGGTCTGGATTTTACTTATGAGCATTTTTTCCTCCCAAAATGTGACAATTAGGCTGAGTTTTAAAAGAAGCTTATTCACAAGACGTATTGAGAAATGTCAAAGGATGGGTAAGAGTGAAATGTAAAAAATAAAGTAAAATTTACTGTCTACATTAAAATCCTTTTAGTAATTTCGTTGATCAAGGTCGCGGTTTGGATAGCCTAATGGTCTTTTTCACATGGCTGATTCTTAGGGCAGTAGCCAATACAAATAATAAGGCCCGCTAACAATAATGATGATAATAATAATGATTTAAATGTAATACTAGGCCTTTTGAAAAAGCATCAGCGTACAGCAAACAGAGCCTATGCAGACTATAAGGCCTGTGTTGCAATTTATTATTTGATTTGAATAACCCACTTATACTTTTTGTCTTTGAATTTCTTTATTAATTTTATTAGGATACATTTCAAGGTAAAACTTTCAATATGCACAAGGAGTGACATCCAAATACTTCAACCACGACAACGCTATGAATCCTTAATATTTCACGTGGCCCTAAGGAAGGCCATCGAATCTAAGACCATATTTTTAAAAATTGATTTATTCTCAATTAAGACTTTTCTCCGAATAAAATGGCCCTTGGGACGGCACCGTGTGTGTATGTGTGTTGTCATGGGTGCTGTAACCCTGGAGTGGAGATACAAAATAGAGACAGGTGAATATCACAGAGGCGCAATATCATATTCAAAAGGAGGGCGAGAGTCAGGCGACTAGCAATGTTTTATTGAAATAAAACGGTAATGTTTCTTATCATGGGAAAGTAGACAATTACGATAAAAATGTATATAAAATCATGTTCAAATCAAGTAACAAGTACATGCCAAATCGTGCCAACGGTACTTTCATTCAATAGGCCTAATTCATTTTGAACCTTTGGGGGTTTTTTTGGTTTTTTTTATTGGGTTTTTTTTGGGGGGGGGTTGCTTTTTTTGTTGCTTTTTTCAGGTTTGAATGATCGACTTTTAGTATCTATCTATCTATCTATCTATCTATCTATCTATCTATCTATCTATCTATCTATCTATCTTGATCAGTTAAAAAACGGGCTAAGTGTAAGTTTTTCCCCCTGTGGTGCGGGCTAAGTGAAAAGGAGGTAGGCTATGTGTCCAGGTGGAATGCCAATTAAGCTTCTCAAAGTGGGGAGCGGAGCTGCTGTCTTTTCTGCTGCTCGTATCGCACTGGTTCTTTGTCAGATCCCCTGTGCGAACATACTGGTTGATTTGGGATTTTCAAGGCGGCACTGAAGGACGAGCTGGTGGGAGCTGGTTTCTGCGGCGGCATACTCCGCGGGAACAGCGGGAACCTGAAACCACACAGCTGAGCTGCAGCTCCACAGTTCCAAATTACAAGTGTCCACTTACGTGTGCGGGGGTCTCTTAAAGATGCGCAGTGCGCCTCACTATTGTTTTAATGCCAAATGCAATGGTTTTTGTGCCACGCATAATCCGCAAGCTTAATGGCCACAAAAACAATTACAACAAAAAGTAAGGAAACTAAGGAAAGCAGCCTTTGTTCAGGACACATGACATCACTTTAGATGTTTACTGGGTTGGATATCGTCAATCGATTCCGTACAGACCAAAGTGAAAAGACCTCTGTTACCTGGAGATAAGACTATAGGGTGCAGTAGACTTACAGATTAAACTTAAACTCCTAAATTCATAGAATTTGAAATCTGTATCTCCAGCCACACTGGCTAAAACACCGAAGATTTGCGTTTATTTATGTACTGCAATTTACTTCTCTCAGCCTTGCACCTTTGCCACAGTTTTTGCCACAATCCTGCAGAGGGGTTACTAAGGAGATGTGACGCCGCCATGGTGGGCAGCAGTGGGTAGGCCCACAAAAAAATGTTTGTAGGACCAAATATGCCCGACAGGATTTTCAGTTGGATGTGTTCGTCGGCAAATCGAGCTGGAGACTCAATGGAAAATCAAGACATCCCCTTATCGCCTTTCCCGGTAGGCCTGTAGTCGGTTATGCTTCTATTCTAGGTTTTTGCAAACGAGGCTAACTTTGACAGCTCGATACTTATTTAACACTGCAAACATGCCCGGATGTGACGAGTACCTTCCTAAATTTCCACAATCATGCCATCATTTTAACTTAACAAGCGGCGATACTATGTTTTCTGAATAAAGTTGCGTTAATCTTGCGAACCGTGAAGACCGCTTCGCTCAGGAAACCAGATGCGCATCTACTCAGAGCTATCCTGACTTGCGTTTTTACTTAGGCGACTCCAGTCTGAATACATTTTCGAGTTGTAGTGCAGGCGTTATTTCCAGACAGAGACGGAGGATGTGATGTTCAGCCTTTGAGGGACAGAAGCCTCCCCTCGGAGTGAGACGGTGATGAGTCAGGCAGGCCCGGGCAAGCCCAGGCCCCACGACACCTTGTGCCACCTCAGTGGGACTACATTAGTGCGATCACACCTGGATGAATGTGCGTTTGTGTTTTGAACTTTTGTCTAATATATTTTTTAACATGGGAAAAAAACGACCATATATTTGGACTTGCACGTTTTAGTTTTTTAAGTTAAAAGTCAGTTTTTCGGTAATTGTTTCAGTAACTGCCGCCCTACATTTTTAAATTAAGAAAAGAGATCTTTGTGTAACTGTCCGTGCCTGTGTGTGTTCTTTGTAGAGTGGTCTGCCCCTCGCCAGACTACCCATCATCTAAGATGTCCCAGTCCACTGTTACTGAAGAAGGAGGCACCTTTGAACACCTGTGGAGCTCCCTGTGAGTGTCAACATCACTGAAAACTGATATACTTCCCATCATGTTTTCCAAATTATATAATAATCTGATTAAAAATGTAAGTGTATCAAGTTAATTATATGATATATCTCTCCATTATCTAAAAGATTATTTTCTTACAAATTACAATTCCTAATATGTGATTAATTTTAATGCCACAATTTTATACATAATATGAAGGAAAGTGAAGTCTTTTTTCTGTATAACACAGTGAAATTATTTAATATGTTTACGAGAGCTAAAGATAAATACTTGCCTTATCTAACAGCTGATTTATTTTTTTTCCTCTGTGTGGGCATTATTCAGCAAACGCTAAAAAGTACTGCTGTGTTTTAATACTTATTGGTTAAAAAATGACAATATTTCTTACTGCATAATGCACACAAAAAGAACAAAACTGTCACTATGAGAATTCAGATTTGATTTCTCATGTTATGATATTTTATTATTTTGGATGACAGATTATTTATGCAAGTAGGATGATATCTTTAAATTCACAAATTTGCTAAGAAAAAAGTATATTACCATAAAATTATTTCTTGTTATCATTCATTTTTATTGCGCTGAAAGAATAAAGATAAGCAAATAGTCCAAAATCTTTAAACTAAGCAGCAAGAGAAAAAGGGGGGAAACCCACATTTGCCTGCTGTCTTCCTTCTTAAGACACACAGCAGGAAATCTACAGCTGGAAGGCTCAAAAAGAAAAGAATCGGGTTGTATAATAATTGATCGCAAGGAATATAAAGGATCATATTTGGTTACAATTTAAGGAAGAAAGGATAAAAAATGATAGTACTTGGTAGAGATAAAGGGTATACTTGTATTCTATGACTTACATGGATAAAAAGTCTTTTTTTTCAAACTCTTCTTTTTATATAATTCTCTCTATTAAATGATACAAAAACACACCTATGCTATAATTACTTATTGAAATCCCACATCTCAATAATCATCTTATATGCATTGTGTGTTCACAGAGAGCCAGACAGTACCTATTTTGAGCTCCCCCCAGGCAGCCAGCCAGGTGAACAACCAGTGCCGTCTACCAGCAACCCGGGGAACCACCACAGCACTGCAGAGGTCTCCATGGATGTCTATCATATGAGAGACATGAACGAGAATGTTATGGTAGGAAAATGAGTTCATCTCACACATTGTGGTCAGACTTTGCTTTTATATAGAATCTGTTAAGTTTTTCTTGTCATTATAGGATGTGGTAGTTTATCTTGTGAGAACACACGCACACATCTAGGAATGTTTTTTTTTTT